GTGATTTATAACTATTAATTCCGGACATCACCTATGAAACACTCTGTATAATACTGAAACTGACACAATTTATCACCCCCCTCATGTTCAGAGAGCTCAGTTATTGGGTATCTTAACGCGAAGCATAAAAGCGGAAGACCTATACACTGTATCTTATAAAGTGGAGCATTTAGTTAGTTATGAGGGTACGCCTTCCGCACTTGCAGTGTTCGGTACGTAAACACGTGGCGTCATTAAACCCGCAGAACAGTATCCTCAAGACTGTGAGAGTCACTTGGCCGGTCATGGAATACTCCGCCTCTTACGAAATCCAAATACTCACTGCCATGTTTACAAGATCCATCCATTGAACCGTACCCTAATCCAATTGGCTGAAGGGCACGCCATCATATTCTATTCCTCTAGTATACACTTATGTATTTTCCTACCATTCAGCTTGTCCTCCCTCTTCCCAGCAATGCTAGGCTTCTATTTATAATTATTACTTCAACAAAACAGATAGGAATGTGATTCCCAAACGACGCCGCAGGCCACAAAATGAGGGACAATAAAGCACTGAGAAAACCTCACATAATTAATATGAATGAGAAATACAAGTTCTGTAATACAGATCTGTTAAAGTTAATGGCTAAAGGCCGCGCCATAGCTCAAGCGGTTAGTCGCTGGCTTCGGCGGCCCGGGTTCGATCCCGGGTCTGGTCAAGTGAGATTTATGGTGGACAAAGTGGCGTTGGGGCAGGTTTTCTCCGAGTACTTCTGTTTCCCCTGCCAATCTTCATTCTACCAATTGCTCCACAATCACCCTCACCTATCATCTGGGGCTGGTACAATAGGCCAGAAGTGGCTGCAGTAGAAGGGACTTAGTCCCACCCCACTAGCAATAAAGAAACCGATTCCGAAAGCATTTTGTTAGCATAAAATCGAGGTTAGTAGGTTCCAGAAACATGTAACACGATGATCCGTTCTAAAAGTTTATGACGATGCTACATTCGTACAAATATTATATTTCTGGACATTATCCATCGTCTTGTCTTTATATAAACACCGTCCTGTTTATTTTTCAAAACACAATGTTTCGGTAACTGGATTCTGTCTCCGTCTTCAGGTAAAACTTACTCAGTTGGGCCCAATAGATAGAGATACTCCGGAGATAAGGACTAAAACAGAATGAAGCCTTTATTCTCTCAGCGACTTTTATTTACAGCCCTGCAGTTCCATCCTAAATAATTAACCATAATTCACCACGCAATGAATTTATATTTTTGAGATCCAGTTGTTATAGATCACACCAGCGTTTCCTAACGTGTGTACTGCGACATAACTCTTGCAATCATATCCAATTTTATGCGTCTAACAGGATGAACGCCATTTTTTCAGCCCTCTTATGTCACATCATATGGCTCTAATCCTGTTTCTCTGTCAAACAGCAGCTAGCTCACATGTGTTACATAAGTTATGTGCTTTACAGAGTGGGGCGCAGAAACTTCCTTTTTTTTTGAAGGCGAATAAAAGAAAAATTATTGCTGGTAGACAAAATTTATGTTTAGCTAATGAAAGAACATACTTTAAAGTTTTAAATCATGTAGTTTTAAACAAAATATCTTGAAGGTGGTGGCCACCGTTCCCTGTGCACTGATGCAACCGTTTTCTGAAGTTCCCCTCTGCACGTTCCAACATGTGACCCGGAATTTGGGCTACTTCCTGCCGAATAACATTCTTCAGCTGAAGCAGGTTTGTGGGGCGATGTTTAAAAACCTCTGCCTTGAAGTATCCCCATAAAAAAAAATCACAGTGCGTTAGATCAGGTGAGTGCGCTGGAAGCAAGATGAGCCGTCCGGGGAACTTTGCCCTCAAAACTGTCATCGAAGCTCGGGCTGTGTGGGCCATGGCACCATCCTGTTGGAACCAGACATTTCCTAGATGCATTTCTTAGAGAGCTGGTTCGAAAAAGTTTTTAATCATGTCCGCATACCGCTGTGAATTGACAGTAACTGCATGATTGTCTTCTTCAAAAAAATAAGGGCCAATAACTCCAACTCTCGACAACGCACACCATACTGTCACCTTATCACTGTGAAGTGGCCTCTCATGGAGCTCTCTGGGATTGTAACCACTCCAGTAGGGAATATTCCGCTTGTTGACATATCCGGATAGGTGAAAATGTGCCTCATCACCAAAGAAAACAAGTGCGTCAGGGAGTAAAGTTTCCAATAACGTTTCGCACGCCGTTATTCGGTTCTGGAAATCACGTGGTGACAATTCTTGCACAACAACCATCTTATAGGGATCGAAATGAAGATGTTCGCGAAGAATTCGGCGCATTGAAAGATTGGATATGTCTAGGGCGACTGCATGTTTGCGAGCGGAGCGTTTTGGAGATCTCAAAATCGACTGTCGAACTGCCTCCACATTTTCTGGCGTCGTAACGGTCCGTTGTCGTCCTGATGATTTTTTCACCACACTCCTTGTTGTCCTAAAACAAAACAATCGATTTCCGGTCGGGAACCAGACCTCTGGGCTTAATTCCGAAGTGAGTACGGAACGCACGCTGCACCGTCGCGTAGGAATGGTTGTTCGAAAAATAGGCTTCGACAGCAAACGCACGCTGCTCACTCGTCCACCTCATGTTTCCTACTGAGGGGTATTAGACAGAAACTTCCGCGACTGCTGCGTTCGCCGAGCCCATCCCCACTTTTCTGCGACCTCCCCTCCCTTCACAATCCGTCTTCACAAAAAGGAAGTTTCTGCGCCCCACCCTGTAGTACAGAACGCTGTAGGTGGGCACTATGTCCGTCTATCCTACCTATGATGACCTAGTATCAGCGACCGAAACACTAGATAGATATTGGAAACTTTCACTAAATGCTGAATTTGAGTTTCTCATGGTGGTGACTAGAACCTACAAGAAAGTACTTCCCACTAAAAGGTGTGTAGCAATTCTGAAGCTGAACCATATTTTTCCATTACATTTACATTAGGTCATAAATTAATTTTACCATGTAGCCTCATTTTTTGTTAAAATTCGATATGGAAGAAGAAAGTTATATTTTAATACACATGTTAATCTTAATTAACTTCAAAGATGGTGGTTTACAAGTTTATGCAGTACGTTCTGGTGTACACCATTCCCAGTCCCTCTTTAACAATAGCGATGTGACATTAGAAAAGGCTAACTGTTATAGATCGTAAGTCTTCTCGTATATTACGCGGTGTTAAAATACTGTCTGCTTACATCTCTGTTTAAAATAATACACAACATAAATTAACGAAATGTGATGAATATTATGTAAGCAGTTTATGCATACACGAGCCTATGTTTCAGTACACACAACTTTGGAGTAATGTGGACTTATATTTTGGTGTGCCGTGCTATATGAGACTACGTATTAACCTGTCGTCATGTGGAAATTTTGAAAAGCATTGGGTTAACTCCCCTGTTTTGCTGAACTCTCTCTCATTCGACCTGCGTATCCAGGAATAGAAACTGAACTATCTCAGCTACTGAAAAGGATTTGATCATAGCGTCCTCTAGTCCCTGTTTGTCTGTGGAAGTGACAAGTTTAATTAATGTAGGAATATTTCAACATGAGTTGATACTGCACGTTTTGATCAAGGAAATTTGCAAGCCCTTTAAATAACAAATGGCTTTGTACGTTTTCGCCGTATTCAGAATGTAATCGAAGCTGAGGTGGAATTTAGGAGACATATAACAAACAAAATTGCCTCTCAGATTTACTGGCTTAAACGGATGGTTCCACATGTAGTCATTTGTATAACCTCAGCATGTCGCAGAGGGAAACAAGTTCGAGAATAAGTTTCCTCCGAGCGTCACGTCTGAACAGAGACTAAACACAATTATAATAAATAATTAGTGCATACTGAACCTAGGAACTCACATTTGTGGGTAATTAAGCTTGTACACACATCGAAAATTTCAAAAAGCACCTTCAACATTTGCGCCACCGTCATGTTCCAAATTTTAAAACAGAATTCTCTTCCTTCGGAGGAAGAAAGTAAGTTAAGAAAATCTGAGAACTAAGCGCTAAGAAACGTATTTTTTTTTCTTTTGGCACTACAGCCCCAGTGTGGGCCTTGGCCTATCTCCGTGAAACTTTCCGTTTCACTTCGGTTTACTGGATCTTAGACATTCGGTAAGAATCCTTGGGCGGGTGATCAACTCGTCTTAAAGTCTCTACCTGTACACAAACACTGAACACCCATGCCTTGTGTGGGACTCGAGCCCACGATCCCGGCTTCCGAGCGAGCGGAGACAGTGCACGCTTTAGACCGCTTGGCTACCGTGAGAAGCCAAAAGACGTATATTAATGTAAAGAAAATGAATGAACTTGCATAATGAAGAATCTTATCATTAATATAAATTTAGGATAATGAACTGGAGGATGCTACACTGGACCGGGCAGGTGGCTTGGATAGGGAGAAAAGAAATACGTGCAGAATTTTGGTGCAAATACGTACTGGAAAGAAGATCCTATTGGGAGACCGATATAAAGGCGGTGAATGTAGGTGGATCTGATCTGAGATCGTGCCAAATCGCTCGCTTTGGTATTAGCGATGCTGAAACTTCGAATTCTTTCAACACGGCGTTAGATATTCTGATCTCTATTCAGTAGGTTAAATGTGACAGGGTAAAGTTGTCTTTGTGCTTAATAAATTAAGCACCACGCCATGAGGACGTATGAGGGATTGGAGGCATAGCTCTACCATTCTTGACCTGAGCACTAGATGGAGATTAGTTGTCAACTTCACGCTTCGGCCGCTCTACCCCCAGGGAACATTTTCCCCGAGCCAATTGAATAGGAAAGCCGGCCTGCAAGCGCGTGGAGAAGAAAATTATTTCTTTCCCTTTCCAGGAATTGAACCCCGATCGTCCAGCCCGTAGCCAATCATTATACCGACCGATCTAGACCTGCATTTCTATTCAGTAAATTATGGGGATTAATAACTTCCTGTCTCATAAGCAAGGATACGTTTTGTTTTCAGGTCTGGCTCGGAGAAATTTCTGGCATCTCCTGCTCTTGGACATGCAGACAAGGAACATCAGGTAAAATTTCATGCTTAAATAAATTACTGAGTAGAAAGATATGGCCTCTAAAAGGGCGTAATTCTCTTCTCCCGGAGAGTAATGACCCCGATACTTGACACAAGAGGACACGCTGTCCCGAGTCAGCAACTGCAGAGGAGCTATTTCGATTCTGAGAGGGGCACTACGACGAGCCATCCGCTTGTTACGTCACCCTAGACGCAATAAACTCAGGCTTCATCCAGTGCTTACACAGATACTTGCTTATCTCGCTGAAGATTTTTGGCGGCCAGTGCAAGTGACAGCCCTGGAATAAACATACTGCTGTTTATGCAGCATGTCACAAAAGCGTATCCTAAACAAGCGAGTCCTTGATAACTAGGTACAGCCTATCGTCTTATTCCTACTTGCATCTGCGTACATACACGTTAATTGGAATGAAGAATACCGGTTGGTCTCTTTTATGGTTATTCAGTGTGATAAGGATTTGTAAGTTACATATTTAACGTCATGTTACCTTCAGTATTTGAGGAGTGCGCCTTAATAGTTGCACGAAGGTTCCGGGATAGATTAGACAGAGAAAGACGTCTGAATCGATCTCCGACTCTCCTCTTTGTTCCTATAGAAGGCGCAAGATTTCTGCCGAGTTTTCTTTAAAAATCAACTGTAGTTTTTGGAAGAAATTGCGTATTTACGAACAGAAACGAAACTTGGTCTCAAACATAATAAAGCTTCATCAATACCAGCTTCTCAAGAAAATTAGTCTTAATTAGTCTTAAAAAATAGGATGTGACTTCGTGGGCCGAATGTATTCGGCGCAGGATAAGACCCGGTGAAAAGCTTTTCAAAACACAGTATTGAAACTTTGCATTTAGAAGAGGCAATGAAATGTTTACGAGAATCTCTGTCGCATGGAGTTAACGAATGACAAAATGGAGGAAAGGGAATGAATCTGCAGTAAGGAATATAGGAAATGTGTAAGCCTTGGTGAAATTATGAGAAACAAATTGTAGAGGGACAACATCAGCATCAATTAACTAATTGAAAATAAACCAGGAGTTCCAGAGATGGAAATCAACAGTTGAGATGAATATTGCGCCTCATAATTGCTTACGAAAGTCCAAACCTCGGTCCTAACAGTATGCTAAAAGTTCCTGGAAATGATTATAGCAATGCACCGTAATCACCACGACCACAGACAGTTACGAGAAGCAAACTCTCTGCACTCTGAATCAGGATTAAGCTCAACTTTCCAAACTTGTATAGCCCTCAGCATTATCACAAAGCCGCAGCACGGATATTACCATATACTTTTAATCTCAGTTATTTTTCCTAACTAGGAAAAGCAAAGTACAGACGATATAAAGCTGTCAGAATGCAGACCTCTATAAGAGCGAGGGGCAAGAAATTGGGAGCCCGTCACTGTGCGAAGTTATTAACACAGGCCAGAAAACTTCCCGAGTTTTTATGTTGGCTCTCGGGGTTGAAGTATGATATGAGTTGGGGAATGAGGGTTGGTGAGAGCATCTGGGCTCGTAAAACTGCTTACAAATATAGCGCAGCAATTTCAACATGGCCATGGCAGTTGTTTGTAGGATATGTCTAAAGGTATAATTAAAGAACAAGGCGGATTTTTTCATTATTAATCTATACAAGTAATGGGATCTATACTTAGCGTGGTTTAGGTTTACTTTCCTTGTCAATATTAAAATATACAGTAGCTACAAATTTAGTTCGGGATTAATAATAAATTTATAAATTAATTAAATCAAAATATATTAAAATTTACAAAAAAAATCCGTGGCTTTAGTCCGCAAGCGAACTATACCGACAGAGCCACCGCCGCTTGTCGGCGAAGTTAGTGTCAACTTTAAAGGAAAGAGGATGTCGCGTGGTCAGCGCAAAGAATCCCCATGACCGTTAATTTCGGTTTTCTAGACCGGAGTAGCTACTTTTCCATTCAAGTAGCTCCTCAATTATCCTATTGGGGCTGACTGAGTAGACCCTGTTCCCGATCCACTACTCAGAAAATGTGGTAGCGCCGGGAATGGAACCCGGGACCTCTTGATCTGTAGCCAGGAACTCTGACCACTAGACCACAGAGGAGGTCCAGCCAATAATAATAGCATGAGGAAACTGGAACTTAATCCTGAAATGACGTATAGGACTAGATGCATTTAAAAATTATAATTTTGTTAAGACAAACTTTTTAGAGCGCAAAACTGTGAAATGACGATTGCATGAACTCTGTATTGAGGTTTCGGCTTAAAGAAATGAACTAATGAACGGTTCAAGAATGTTGTCATCTATTAGTGACCAGCCACGGGTTTTGGATCGATAATTTAATTTGGGCTCTAATAACTCGTAACACTGCCGCTAATCTACACACTTTAAAAATCGCTACAGCACGCTCTGGTCTTGTTATCTAGCCACAGCAAGGACCTCATAGAGAACACCGTTTCTAACGATGTCTTTAATTGTAAGATTTGAGGCTTTCACGGCGGTGACTATGAAGAAAGCAGTCTTCTGGGATTTGGCACCGTGTGTATGTGGTGTTAACCGACGTTTCGGAGGAACGTATCGCCTCCATCTTCTACCCTGAAGATGGAGGCGATACGTTCCTCCGAAACGTCGGTTAACACCACATACACACGGTGCCAAATCCCAGAAGACTGCTTTCTTCATAGTCACCGCCGTGAAAGCCTCAAATCTTACAATTAAAGACATCGTTAGANTTACCAAGTAACAATCAGTGCAAACATGTCAAAATATTAACACAGAACAGAAGTTTTGACAGCAAATTATCGCCTTATTTTATTTCAGTATAATTTGAGTATCAGATTCGAAAAGTAGGAAAGAACTACAGTATGCATGCATAACGAATGAATTAAACAATGCAATTTGAGAGGCTGGATTATTAAAATTACTGATGAGAGGGATTTATGAAGTATGGATTGGAGATGGGCTCAGTTGGTATGAAAAACATACCAAGTTTTATGACGAACTGATAAGGCATTCAAATAATATTAAGGTTATTACCTCACAATTTTAGATTGGATTCTCCAATTGACCTAATCCTTCCAGCCGCTTTTTGATCTTGGGATCGACTCAGCCTCTAACAGAAACGAGTACCAGGAATCTTTCTGGGGGTAAGGCCGACAACCTCACCGCCTTCTGTGAGCCGATTGTCTAGGTGACGTGGGAACCTCGACATCTCACATTCCTATGGGCCTCCACGGTCTGTTACAGGGATAGCTTTACTTTAATTTTTACTTTACCATGTTGCTGTTACTGACGGGAAGTATTTATGAATTGAGCCACTGAAATTGCCCCAGGTGACATGACATACGAACCAAGCTTCGTAATTTTCGGTTCAGGAGGTCAAATGTTGGTAGGGTGGGTATGCACACAGACTAGCGGCGCTCACGCACACGCGCGCGCGCGCGCACGCACACACACACACACACACACAGAGCAAGGTTATCTCATAAGCCTACTTTTATTTTTTTTTTCCAAAATAAGGAAAGTAGGCTCAGCTCAGCTCAGCTGTGTTTGGTATGTTTTCGTGTTCGTGTCTTGCGTGGCTTATTCCTCTACCCTGATGATAGAGGTGACATGTTCCTTCGAAATTTCTGTTGACTTTCAGCGGAATATATAGCTTTATATCCCAGAAGCTAGAACTCCTCATAACAACCATTGTGAGAACCTTAAATCTTCCAAAATCATTCTCTGAGAACTTAACACATCTTTAGGATTCTGAATCACAGCTTGACCACACATTCTCTCTCCCCCCCCCCTTTTTCCTTTTAATATGAAACTCGTTCCGCTTAAGCCAATGGAACACACCTCAATTCGGGAGGTGAAGATTTAAATCCCATCTTCCTGGTCAAATTTATAAGCATTCCCCTTTTAAAACTAAAATTTCCTTAGCTGTGGCTAAATCAACAGCCTTTACTTTAGGGAACTCGAGGTGAAATCTTTCATTGCTTGGATGACTTTGACACTTTCACTCAACTGCAACTTTGAAGTCATTTTCGAAGTAAGGCTCTCTTTACCCCTAATAAAATGGCAGCTTCTATTATGATAGGCAAAATTATAGTGTCTCCACAAGAGACAGATTTTATTTCAATTAACAATAATATGAAGATTATATAACATATAGCAATTATGTGGTGGCAACATCATCTTCTTCCATTCAAGAAATTTACCCTAAATGCGACTTGCTCCCATACATTTCATTACCGGTGTTCGACGTACTTTAAACGAAAAGTTTCCGGCAAAATTCATTGGCAGAAATGGGTAAGACGTATGACCGCCTTCAAGTACCAATCTGAAAATGTAGGAATATATTATATATATTAGACATATTATAATGCAGCGATATCCCGTTTGGTGTACTTGAGTAAGTAAGTAAGTAAGTAAGTAAGTAAAGCTATCCCTGTAACAGGCCGTGAAGGCCCATAGGGTTGTGAGACGTTAAGGGTCCCACATTATCTAGACAGTCGGCTCAAAGATGGCGGTAAGGTTGTCAGGCTTACGCGCCTGCGCGTTTTACTCCCCAGGAAAATTATTTTATTAATTCCTGGTACTCATTTCTGTTAGAGGCTGACTAAACCCCAGGGCCTAGTGCGGCCAGAGGGATTAGGTCAATTGAAAAAAAAAATCCAATGACCTTGAGTAGCAACTCAATATATATTTTTACTTTAAGGAAGTATCACTTAAGGAAGTATCAAATTACATATTGGTGCTGGTCTAAACGAAGAGAAAACAGCGTTTTAAGTACTACAGAATTAGGAAAAATGCAAAATTAGTTGAGTTTTCCGTACTGTAACACTCATATAATGCCAGTCACGGTCTGAGGCATCCACTGTCTTCGCTCGCTCGGAAGCCGGGATCGTTGGTTCGAATCGCACTCAGGGCAAGGATGTTTAGTGTTTGTGTGTGTGTGTGTGCGTGTTTGTGTGTGTGTGAGTGCGCGTTTTTCTATGTTTGTGTACGGGTAGAGGCCTTGAGGCGAGCTG